CCCTTTAAGCCCCAGCATCAATATGCATCTTCTCCACACTGTTCTTCATACATTCCTTATGGTACTGCTGGAGAGAATTTGTTCTAACATCGCAACATTTCATCTTTGGTGATCATTTCATTCATTCTCATGACCTGTCTGTTTAAACAGGCAGTGTTATTGTTGGGAGAAATTGTATGTGGGTCACTATTGGGGCTTAAAGGGTTAACTGAAGGTCTGGATCCACCACTGTAGTAGAACAATGTTCCTCCACTGAACGAAGTCAGCCAGTCAGAAAATGTATTAAATGGAATCTATCAAAGATCTTTAAAAAAGATTATTTACTGTAGAAAATGTATCCTAGAGGCAAAAACAACTTTTTTGATTGGTGAAGGTAGTACAATAGTTTCAGTCTGGGAATTATTATCAGATTGAAATTGACGTAATAAGTAGTAAATAACCTAATATATACTGGTAATCTTCCTCAGTGAAAACTTGCATCGACCTGTGGTTGTTTTATGTTGCTGATTGTCTAATAGATCGACAACTCTTAGTTTGATGGCCTGAAATGCTCAGTGAAATGCTAAATTGTTTGACAGTTTTGTCTTCTAAGTAACCTAAGAACATTCCATTCATATGCTTCAAAAGAAAGAGCATCTTTCCTAAGATATAACTGCTTTCTAACTGGTAACAAACTAAAGTCCTTTTAATATAAATGCACTAATTATTGTTCTTTGTAGCTCTGGAAATAATCCTACAAGCAAGGATTTGAAAAAATCATGCAACCTTCATAATATCATCCCATATATCTCTCTCTATTATTATCATTGCATGATATTTAAAATATTGAATGTGTACTTAACACATTGTATTTTCCCCCAGTGGGAAAGTAGTAAAAACTGTAAAATTACAATATGCCAGAAACTATAGGGTTCTTTTCTAATTATGTAGCTGAATTTTGTTCTTCAGATGTCAAGCTCAGAAGGGACACAGAGATGAGCTGGAAAGGACAATGGCCGGTAAGTTAATTTACATGTTCAGAGTGTGCTGTTTGATGGGACTTTGTATACACCTGATGGAAAAGACGTTGTCGCTTCAATAGTATAAACCATGAACAATGGGGCCTACTGGATTTATGGGTAGAACTTTATTAGTGTTACAAATTTAAAGTTCTTTCCAGAAAAGTTTACATTATCAAAGCTTATCAGGAAAGGGATGCTTGCATCTTCTTCTGTACAGGGCACATCAGAGATCTCTATAGTTAAAGTGCTAACGCACTCTTGAAAATCATAAGATAGCAGCCAGAAGCATTTTTGGAAGACATAAATAGACCATGGCAGCTGAAACAAAGTAATCTAGGGATTTGCATCTCCACGAGCAGCTTGTGACGACGTAAACCTTTTTTGAAAGAACTTTAAATTTGCCTTGCTAATGAACGTATACCATAAATCCTCGAAGCCTCATCATTCATGGTTTATACTTTTTAAGAGACAATGTTTTTTCAATCCTCAGGTATACAGTCAAGGGTAAATTCATATTCAGAGTTAGATGAGATATTGGTTAGGTTTTCACCTACCCCACCATTACTGTGATGTCATAACAACTACGACCCATTCAAAAGGATTAGATGCTTACCATATAGATGTTATTGTGTTTGTTATGGTAGGAAACCTGAGACATTTCAGTTGGGATTGAAAATAAAGCCAATAGTTGAATCAAAATTGATTCTACTCCCACAAAATAAAGATCTTGTAACGTCACTATTAAATTTCAGTGTGGCACACATTCTTGTGGTGATAAAGGACAAATAATGCTAAAAATTTATTTCATCAATCAAGCCATTCATCTCCATATTGTTTCCATTCAACTGTTGAGGGTAAAATGTGATTGTCAGTAAATATTCCCTTAGCTCCTTCCCTTAAATTTCCAAATCAATGACCACATATATGTAAAAGGAAACAATTATCAAAGTATGAGAGTCCCGTCTTTCAGATTTTATTTTAAGGGAGTAATATAGGTAACAACATCTAATATGTTGCATGGTTTTTACCTATTTAGCTGTCATGTAATATGGTGAATTTTTTCTGGTCAACAAGAGGAGGAGATGTCTACTTATATAATGGGGTGAGTCTATTCTCTGTTTACTAAGGTCCAGCTGTGTGGTGATAGGTTAGGACTATTGAGGTCAATTTTCCCTTTCTTGTGGATAGATTTTCCATAACTGAAGTGATAAATTCAACAATTAAAATAACAATACAACGAATTGAACTGGGTAATGACCACCCGTACACTTGAAAGTGTACTAAAAGAGACAGTCACATCAACCAACATGCATAACAACCATCTACCAAACAAACCTACTTTATATAGAGTTTCCCTTACTTTCAGTTCAACAATGACACAAGCAAATGAACAAAACACCAAAATTGACCATCCCTACATTTTAGTATATCCAGAAAAAGTTTTTGTCATTCCAAGATAAGGTAATAAAATTAATTATGAAGATCAGATCAAACGTTAGGATTATCAATACATCCATAAGCACAACTGGTTCTTCAAGTCAGTGGTTGGGTGTGGGGCTAACAACTGCACCCTGAAAAATAACAACATGCTACTGAAACTGCAATAACACTACCCACAGAAACCCTGGGTCCAATATGAAATTCAAACCAAACCAGAGGCACCAAAAACATTATTTGAAAAATATTATCCGACTTACAAAATACATATATCATCCCATACAAATTCCTCTATCATTATCATTATTATTATTATTATTATTATTATTATTATTATTACATATCATTTAAATTACTGAATAAGATGTATTTAGTCTTGGCATAGTGTATTATTCCCCTAGTAAAAACTGTATGCCAGAAACTGTAAGCTTCTTTTCTAATTATGTTGCTGAATTTTGTTCATCAGATGTGTAGCTCAGAAGGGACGCAGAGATGAATTGGAAAGGACACTGGTGAGTTAATTCATGTACTCAGAGGGTGTTGTTTCATGTGAGCTAGTTTATATTCAAGTTTGACGAAAATTCATGATTCTTAGTAAAAGTGAGATATTGGTTGGGGTTTCACCTATCTCGACTCTTCTACTTGAATGGCCAAATCTAACCATTACATGTCATAGCAAGCACATTCAAAAGTATTGGATGCTGACCATAATTATAGATGTTTTAGTGTGTGTAATGAAAAAAATTGTAGACATTTCAATCAGGATTGAAATCGTTCCTATATTTGACTTCCAAATCAATGTCCACATACACATAGAAGAAGAAAAAATCAGCCATTTTGGGTCACTTTTTTCCGTTTATTTTCAGGGAGTAATACAGATAACAACATCTAATACACTGCATTTTTTTTACTCACCCCAATTAGCTGTCATGTGATATTGTGAGGAGGAGGAGCAAGAGCTGATGTCTTCTTATCAAATGGTGTGAGTCTATTCTTTTTTTACTAAGGTCCAGCTATGTGGTGATAAGTTAGGGTTTTCGAGGACAATTTTTTTCCTTACTTGTGGATAGATTTTCCATAACTGAACTGATAAATTCAACAAAACAACTTCAACAAATTGAAATGAGGGAATGGCCACCTAGATACATTTGAAAGTGTACTAAAATACACAATCGCATCAACCAAAAAACAATAAAATAAATCACCAGATGAAGAAACATGCCAGTACCTTTCAGGACAACATGGACAACAACCGTTCACCAAACAAACCAATTATTGTATATACTGTGTCCCTTGCTCGCAGTTTTAAAATCACACAATCGAATAAAGGAAGGATACTACAAAACACCAAAACTGACAATCCAAGAAGAAGTTTCTGTCATTACAATGTAAAGTAATGCAATTAATCATAAATATCAGATCAAAAGTTAGGATTATCAATACATCCATAAGTACAACTGGTCCTTCAAGTCAGTGGTTGGGTGTGGGGCCAACAACTGCACCTCGGAAAACAACAAGACGTTACTGAAACTGCAACAACATTACCCACAGAAACCCTGGGTCCAATATGAAATTCAAACGAAACCAGAGGCACCAAAAACATTATTTGAAAAATATTATGCGACTTGCAAAATACATGTATCATCCCATACATCCCTCTATTATTATTATTATTATTATTATTATTATTACATGTCATTTAAATTACTGAATAAGATGTACTTGGCACATTGTATTATTCCTCCAGTAAAAACTGTATGCCAGAAACAATAAGCTCCTTTTCTAATTATGTTGCTGAATTTTGTTCATCAGATGTGAAGCTCAGAAGGGACACAGAGATGAATATTGGAAAGGACAATGGTAAGTTAATTCACTTACTCAGGGTGTGTTGTTTCATGTGGCTTGGTCTATATTCAAGGTTGAGGAAAATTCGTGATTCATAGTGAAAGTGAGATATTGGTTGGGGTTTCACCTATCTTGAATCTAAATTTACTACTTGAATGCCAAAATCTACTACTTGAAATTAAATGCCAAAAATCAAAATTGAATGGCAAAATCTACTACTTGAAATTCTACCACATTGAATGCCAAATCTACTACTTGAATGCCGAATCCAACCATTACATGTCATAGCAAGCACATTCAAAAGTATTGGATGCTGACCATAATTATAGATGTTATGGTGTGCGTAATGGAAACAACTGTAGACGTTTCAATCAGGATTGAAATCGTTCATATATTTGACTTCCAAATCAATGTCCACAAACATGTAGAAGAAAAGAAATCAGCCATTTGGGTCACTTTTTTGCAGTTTATTATAAGGAAATAATGCAGATAACAACATCTAATACATTACATTGTTTTTTACTCACCCTAATTAGCTGTCATGTAGTATGGTGAAATTGTTTGGTCAACAAGAGGAGCAGATGTCCTGCTTACAAAATGGGGTGAGTCTTTTGTTTATTTACTAAGGTCCAGCTATGTGGTTATAAGATAGGACTACTGTAGTCAATTTTCCCTTGATTGTGGATAGAAGTGATAAATTGAACAAAACAACTACAACAAATTAAAATGAGGGAATGACCACCTAGATGCATTTGAAATAATGCAATAAAATAAGTCACCAGATGTAGAAACATGCCAGTACATTTCAGGACAACATGCATAACAACCATTCACCAAACAAACCAACTGTATACAGTGTATACTGTGTCCCTTGCTTGTAGTTTTACAATCACGCAAACAAATAATCAGAGGATACAACAAAACACCGAAATTGACCATCCAAAAACAGGTTTCTGTCATTACAACATAAAGTAATACAACTAATCATAAAGATCAGATCAAACGTTAGGATGATCAATACATCCATAAGGTGCAGGGCTAACATCCACCCCAAAAAATAACAAGATGTTACTGAAACTGCAACAAGAGTATCAACAGAAACCCTGGGTCCAGCAGGAAACTGTAGCCAAACCAGTAGCACCTGATGACAATATTGGAGATAAACGCCTATGTCCAGAGGTCCAGAATTTGAATCAGAGCTTTCTGGGACCAAAAACTACCATCCACATTGAAGCCCCATGTTCGAAAAATCTCCAAAACAGTGCAGGGCATCGAGGAATGCACAACTACAACTTGGACCTCCTCTGTGTGAGCAAATGTCGGTGGACTGGGTCTGGACGTAAGGTGTCGTGCAGTGGCTCAGCTAACCATTTCTGAGGAAAAGACATTCAAGGGTTTGCCTCGAGATTTTGTAATTTTACCTTTTGCGTTGTTTATGTGCTCCTAGCTATGGGGCAGAGGAAGAGGACAATGGTGGCTTTTACGTGCAACTGCAACTGCAGTCTCCAACGTCCCACAGCATGACATGATACTGATCACCAGGGATTTGAATGCTAAAGTTAGAGATGATAACACCAGGAAAGAGGATGCAATAGGTTGGCACAATTGCAGAACCATTGACAACACTGGAGAACGATTTGTTGAATTTTGTTTTGACAATTGCTTCAGAGCAATGGTCAGGAAAAATCCAGCAAAATCTTGATTTCATGGCAGTAGTTGAATAGTCGATTTCTTTCATTTTTGGCCTTGAATAGCTTTTAGGTAGATAAGAAACCTGATATAAATTGTTCCCGCCAATAGTCTTTTATTGGTGAGAAAAATTAGAACGTCAGTTTTCGATGTTGGATTCTTAGAATGGCCTCATTTATTAACCTAACAGTAATTTTCCTCGCATTTGGAAACAAAGTCGCATGGAGACATTGAACACTTTCCATGACCAGAACAATTATTTTTTTCTTTCACTAGAAGATACTTTCATGGCAATAGCAAGACATATTGTACTGAAGTAATTAAAAAATGTGGGATAGGTTTTGAGGTTAACAAAAACTTAGGTCGTTACTCATTTTCAATGGCAAATATTCAACATGTCTTATGGAAACCAAATTCTCTTCGTGCTATTTAAATGACTTGTTTAGACATTCATCTAAAACGTACTTGGGAATTGGCTCGGGTTATTGAAGGAAATTTTTTTAAGTTGAGGAATTTTTATAGTGGACCCGTGGTAATTGTGTTAACACGTCCAATTGTGAAATGCACAAAAGAGGACATTTGTAGGTTTCCCCATAGCAAAGTTGCTTTTCTAATCAAAGAGTGAGGAAAAAAATTAAACTGGGCCAATTTTAGCCATTTTAGACACTCAACTCTACCAGCCGGCAACTCTACATGTTTGAAGAGATGGAGACAGATTCGGTGCAGTCAAAATGTCAGTCACACAGTGATTGATAGGCCATTTGCACTAAGAGGTCATGTGACATCGTTCTTATGAAAATGAAAGTTATATAATTTTTCTTCAAAAAAAGATGAGTGGGTCATATCTTTATCAAAATAATAGTGATTTAGTTTTTCAAACCTGCACCATTTTCTTAAATTGAGTAAGTTTGTAGCTGGTCACGTGACCAAAATGTGATTTTTAAAATTATGAATTACCTCTTTCTGAACACAAATTTTGCACTTAAACTTCAAGGAAAATGTTGAAAAGTTGATGTGGGAACGTTTACAACACGTCTGAGCAAAACTATCAAATGTTTAACAAGATCTAAGCAAAAAGTAGTTTTGGCCGCCATGTTGGAGGGCAAGAGTATGATACCACTTTGTTGAAAAATCAAATTGCCATAAAATATCTCCCTGGAATGCATTTCCTCTCAAATTTCGGGTGTAAGATAATTTTTGTGTTCTTTGTCAATTTTTGGCATCAGCAAGATTCCATCTCACTTTTTTATCTAGAAATAAGGAATTTGACAATAGTAATTCACTAAGGATGATGGCCGGAGTTACACCACATGAAAAATAATACCACAGAAATCAACTAAAAACCGTTCTTACCTTTTGTTTTATGTCAGCTTGACGAGTCATGAAAGTATATTCTAGTGAAAGAAAAAGAGTTCTTCTATTGATTCAAAGTGTGCGGCTTTGTTTGTGAATGCGAAGGGAGTTGATGTTAGCAAACTTCAGGGTGAAAATTAGGCCATTTTGAGACTCCGACCTTCCTATTTTTTACACAAAAGGCCTTTTGTGAGAACCATTTTCGTTAGATTACTTAACTACTTAAAAGCTATCTATGGACAAAAAAATGAAAGAAATCGATTTTTTAACTCCTGCCACTCAATGCTCGATATTTCCTGACCATCGCTCTTAATAGGTGAGACAGCGACATTCACAGACTGAGTTAGAGATGTCTAGATGGAAACACTGTCAATCAGATTGACCACATCAGCATAAATAAGAAATGGTAGAGGTCTCTACTGGATGTCAGGGTCCTTCCCTAGTCAGATGTTGGCAGTAATCACTACCTCCTTATAGCCAAGGTCAGGTTGAAATTATGAGCAATGCCTGCCACCAAGGAGCAGTTCAAAGTATTTGACATCAAGCTTTGTGCCCCTAATGTTAAAAGGCAGTTCACTATTGAGCCTAAAATTCGCTTTGATCAGTCCACTTGAAATTGAAGATGGAGATCAAGACGTTGTTGAATCAACCTGGAGTGACATCATAAGAGTGTGTAACAAAACCGTAGAGAGCGTCTGAGACAAGGCAGAAAATTGACAAAAGGAGAAAAGCCAAAGAGATCCTGACATGTGCCCTAGACTGATCCTGCAAGTGAATGAAGTATATAAGATCAAAGATCAGCAGGTTAGGAGGAGTGCCCAAAGGGACAAGAGCCGAGCCTTTGTGGAGGTGCCAGCTAGTGAAGTAGAGAAGGCTGCAGCTAAGGGAGACCTCGACACTGTTTAGAAGATAACTTAAAGCAGTTAAGTGGACAGAGTAACAGCTACATTAAGCCAGTCAAAAATAAGGAAGTGAAAAGTGATAACAACAACTGAAATGGAAAAGGCTTCAAGATGGATCCAGTACTTCAAAGATGTGCTCAACCGGCCAGAGTTAAATGAGATTGAAGACCTAGACCCTTCAGATTATCGCAATGTTAATGCCAACCAACCCTCTCAGGTTGAAGATGACACTGCAACCAAGGCAATGAAGAATGGAAAAACTCCAGGGATTAATTCACTTCAAGCAGAAGAGGCCATTTGCACTAAGAGGTCATGTGCCATCATTTTTATTAAAAAGAAAGTTGTATGATTTTGCCTTCAAAAAACCGTCAGTGGGTCATATCTTAAACAAAATAATAGTAATTTAGTTTTTCAAACTTGAACCATTTTCTGAAAATGAGTAAGTTCACAGCTGGTCATGTGACCAAACTGTGATTTTTAAAACTATGAATAACCTCTTTCAGAACAGAAATTTTGCACTTAAACTTCAAGGAAATTGTTGAAAAGATGATGTGGAAACATTTTCAGCACATCTGAGCGTAACTATCAAACGTTTAACAAGATAGAAGCAAAAAGTAGTTTTGGCCACCATGTTGGAGGGCAAGAGTATCCCCTCCAACATGGTGGCCGGTACAAATCATACTACTTTGTTGAAAAATCAAAGTGCCATAAAATATCTCCCTGAAATGCGTTTCCTCTCAAATTTCGGGTGTAAGATAATTTCTATGTGCTCCATCAATTTTTTTGCATCAGCAAGATTGCAACTCCTAGGTTAAAGGAAGCATTGATCACGTGACCTCTTAGTGCAAGTGGCCTATTACTAAACTCAGATGGTTCTTTCTGATATCTTTGCTAAGATCTGAAACCATGAAGTTATTCCTAAAGACTGGAGCATCGGCCTTATAATTATTCAAGATTTCGAAGATGGGGGACCTCAGCAATTGTGAAAACCGGTGAGGCATTACACCTCTTTAAATTCCCAGCAAGGATTGATAGTGCCATAGATTCAAAGTTGAGGCAGGAATAGGCTGGATTTCATAAAGGCCGAGGCTGCGCAGATCAAGTCTTTGCTCTTCTTAACAACATTGAGCAGTGCATTGAATGGAATAATGCCTTTTTATGAACTTCATTGACTTCATCAAGTCTGATGTATGACAGGGTTGTATTCTCTCTCCAATCTTGTTTCTAGTAGCCATCGACCTGGTGATTCATGAATTAACCTCATACTGTCCCTATGGAATCCAGTGGACTTGTGTTCTCACATTTGTTGGACCTTGACTTTGCCGATTGATGAACTGGCAGTCATGTTGGCCACTCTTAGTCATCTCTTCGAAAAATGCAACTCGCTAAGCAATTTTGCCCTAAGTGATAAGTAAGTGTTAATGTTGGCCTAGGGGAGGGGTAGGTGGGCGCAGGAAGTCCCAAATGCCCATAGAGACATCACAGTCCACCTTAACAAAGCTAGAGGAAGTCTAAGCAATACAGCCTCAAAACCAAGATCAGGCTTTACAACAGCAATGTCAAGGCTGCTCTTTTGTGTGGCTCTAAGTACTGAAGATGTCTTTCATTACGGTGGCCTTCACAGGATCTGCAATATCTGCTGGCTTGACAAGATCACTAATGAGGAACTGTTTAAGAAGACAGACGGTATGAATATGTCTCTCAAAATTAAGAACCGCAGGCTTTGATAGTTTGGTCATGTCCTAAGGATGCCCAGTAACAGGATACCCAAAGTGGCCTTGAGATGGAATTTGGGAAGACCAAAAGAGGCCAGCCAAAAACCACCTGTTGAAGAGCAGTGATGAAAGAGCTGGAGGAGATGGGTGTAACATGGGGCAAAGTGCAGACCAAAGCTCTGGACAGGGTTAAGTGGCAATGTTGGATTGTGGCCTTATATCCGGCAATGATGAACAGGTTGAGGTTGGACGTGATGAGCGAGGATAGAGGACATTTGATTATTTTTAATTGGGAAAATTAACTTCCATACCAAAGCACAGGCATCCCTGATTAATAAAACAACCTGATAGTTACTTTCCATACAACACAGGGTCACCAAATATAGATTGTAGCCATTCATACACATCATAGCAAGTGGTTAGAGCAACAAGGATCCAAAACAAAACAAGTGGATAGTCGCGAGTACCATTCAGACACATCATAACAAGTGGATAGAGTAACCACTATGTACAACAATACTGAACTGTGATGTTTGAAGCTTCTCTTATTGCTGTGTGGTCATCTCAATCACAGGGAACCCACACAAGCTGATTGTGTCACTTTAACATGTATACACATCACAACAATTTTATAGAAAAACATAGAGTTAGCTGTGGTCATTCCACTCATACACTTAAATAGGTAGAATTAGTTTTTTCTAAGATATCACTGCTTTCTTTTCTATTGGTGATAACTTAAGTGCGTCATGGCTCTGGAAACAATCCTACACACAGGGATTAGAAAATATTAAGCAACTTTCATAATAGTCTCGGTTATTACTTTTGAATTTCAGTCAGGATTGGAAAGAATGCCAGTAGTTGAATCAAAATTGATTTTAAATTGAATATGATTACAAAATTAATGCTGGTTAGGAAATTTCAATGTGATACATACTGAATGCTGAAACATTTATGCACTTCAATCACCTCATTTAATTCCATATAATTTTCATTCATCGCTTGGCGATGGAATGATGATCTGATTCCTTGACCTGCAGCTAAATCAATGATCACATACATCCATATAGAAAGGAAAAAATGAAACAATTATTTGGTTGTCACTTGTTTCATATTTTATTTATGTACATAAAACAGATATTAGCAACTAATATATTGCATGTTTTTTTTATCCAGCTAGCTGTGATACAATATCTTGGATTTTTTTGGTCAACAAGAGGATTAAACTTCTACTTATTGTATTGGTGAGTTAATTATTTATGAATTTTTTTCTTAGGGTCCCAGTTTAAGGTGATAAGTTAGGACTTTTGAGACAATTTTTCCTTTCTTGCCCATAGGTTTTTCCTGTTAAGTAAACTGGAAAATTCATCAAAATAAACAGTATAGACATTGATCCTTTTTTTAGTTACGTCCCACGTAGCAATTAAGTTCATTTCGTATCTCTTTCTGAGGCAACGCTTGCGTGGCCTAGTGGATAAGTTCTCTTTCTTGAAATTAAACACACGTCGACCGCTTCTTCCCTGTCGCTGTTTAATTTAGTTTGGATGATTTGTGGGGGTGGTTTAGCTCCTGGTTGAATTTGTTGTTGTTGGGTGTTTTGCTTTTTTTCTTCAAGTTCTGAGAAAAACTTTGACTTGAATTTTTTTTTTGCCTTTTTTTTTCTTCTTTTTAACCAGTACGAGAGTTCTAATATTTTAGTCTCTTTTGCTGGTTAAAAAAGAGGGG